CGGGCCCCGCTCGTCTCCGCGCGATGCTGTCTCCATGTCACAACCACTCAACGAAGAGGGTGAAACAGAAGACAGGACAGGATCTTGAGGTCAGCTCCTGAAGGGCTCTGGGCTGCCCCAGGAGGACTGAGCAGACACTCTGCCTGCTCAGGGTGCACCAGCAGCCCCTGACCCCTCGAGGGCTGGGGTCGGGAGAGGGCCGGGGACAAAGCGGCAATCTGGGTGTGGGGAGTCCCCGGGGACTCCCTCCACGAGTGTGTCATGACCATCCAAATACATCAGCTCCTCAGTACAAAAGCAGTAACTTTTTCTACTAACCACTTACTTCATTAGGAAAAAATGAGAATGCCCCATGAGACTCAACTTTTAAAATTCAATCCTTTTATCGGTTGCTGCTTTTTACAGTAAAAGTAGGGGCTGTTATTATTTTGAACAAACATTTCAAGGATTTGCCACATTCTACCATTTCTACGTTACTATCCAGGAACCAAGAGGAGAATAGTATTCAAACTTCTTCCTAACAGTGCCCTAATGCACTCCCCCAGGGCTGCCCCACCACAACCCGGGACTCAGCCTGACCAAGCACTATAATCCTGTGCAGTTACCAGCGGTTACCAACCATGTGTACAGAGACAACCAATTCCATTAGAGGGACAACCAGAGGGCCAATTACCTTCCAGCTTCTTCACCTTGGCTTCTAGTTTCTTCCTCCTGAGAATACAATTTTACAAATTAAAATGGTATAGAAGAAAGAAAAAAAATTAACAGGAAAAAAAAAATCTCAATGTTACAATTTCCGGGACATATTTTTTAAAAACTACTGGAATTTACATAACAAAGAAAATGTCAGCCACAACGAGCATCACACACAACCACTACAATTACCAGCAACTGCTCTGAGGGTAGCGTGAACCCCACAAAGAGCAGCACACTGTTCAGGGCGGAATGTTTACAAAGTGGATCACAGAAATCTGCATTTTTCTGACATGCCACGTCTGGGACTTTTCCTGAATTGCTGTGGCCCCATCTCTGAGCCAAGCTGATGCGTCCAGATGGTCTCCCAGAGTCAGTCTGGCATCTGATTAGGTGAAGTTACTTTTAGGAGCACACAGGGTGGGAGGGTTCACACCACCATTCTACAGGAGGCAGTGGCTGGAACACTGCCCTTGTTTTAGGACAGATTTCTGAGCCAGAGAAGGTAAGAAGCCCTGAGAAAGTTTCTGAGTTACCGTGTCATCACACCTGCGTTAAACCACTGCACACGTCACTCACAAGTTGTGTAAATAATGTGAATACAGCATTAAACTGCAAAACAATCAACTGACTTCTTCTGAACGGCCCTGTTTATTAACGGGACAAAGACACCCATTCCAAATGACATCTGTTAAAGGACTGGTACAGAGACAGGAGATAACTGTTTTCTCTAGGAAAACATAATACAGACACACGTGCACGCAGGCATTCGGACAGAAAAGCTTTCATGCAGTCCTTCCTGTGAGCAGCTCTTTAACTCATGCGTCATTTAACTCCCCTATTGATCCTTCAGGGTAGGTACAATTCCCATTTCACAGATGTGGAATCCAATACTGAGAGACTAGGTCAAGATCACCCAGTTAATTAATTGCAGCCAACCAACCCAAAAACAGAGAAAAGAGAAACACTACTGATTTAAGGATTAGACATTTTCAAAGGTGAAAATCATTCCCACAATAATTTTAGAAACCCTCACTGAGCATCAGTTTTCAAGCACTCCTCCTTCACACGGGCGTACTCCTGATGCGTGTTCTGGTACAACTTCAGAGAGCTCTGAAAAAGGAAGACATGCATACTGTCAACTTGAAAGCCACTCGTCATCAGTGATACCTGGTTATGGCCTGAAGAGGCTAAATTATTATAACTTAACACTATGGAATTAACCAAATGAATAAACATGATTAGGCAGGAAGCCAAAGTATAATTCACTGAACGACTGGATATAACCAGATCCTTAACAGAGGCAGTATGACTAACAGTCTAATCAAACAGAGCTATAAAACTTAAAATACACCAATCACAAGGTAACTCCAAATCTTCATAATATTGAATAGCTAATATTTTTGTCACAACCAATTACAACTCAACAAAACCTAAAGAAATTTCACAGCTTAATAAACAATATCACTACTATGCAAAAATATAAAACAAATCATTACCCGTTAACACCAATCAGTATGTACACCCTGCGGCCCCTGTGGAACAGGAAGGACACTCGGGGGAGCCTATGACAGTGTCTTGTGGCATGACAGCTCTTCAGTCGCCACAGCTCTGAGAAAAGGGCTTTAATTATGACCCCCTTTTACAGATGAGGGGTCTGAGGATTCAGAAGCTGACTTATTCTTCGAAAGTCACGGTGAAGGACTGACAGTCTTTCAAGTCTGACTCCAATGTTCATGCTTGCTCTCAGGTATGGCTGGTGAGATTATTTTATAATCAGAAGTAAATAAAGTTCAACATTGTGATTGTTTCTGTAACTTTTACTGCAGAGTTAAATATACAATAAAGACTTTCTACAGAAACAGGAAAATCAACCCCTGCTAAAGTATTTAAGCCTCAGAGAAGTCCATGGCATTACTAAAATGGCACAATTTGAAGATGAGAAGCACAAACACTATCATGAAAAGAACTCAGAAAATAGGTCGAGAAGCCAGGAATCATTCCAGCTTGGCTATGACTTGTCTCATGCAAACTACCTAACTTTATTGGCTTCAGAATTTTTTTTTTAAAACTACAAAAGCCATGAATTCTTCTTAAAGAATTCCAGTAAAGAGAAAACCAAAATTTATATTTAAAAAATAAGTTTACAGCATTTAAAATAACTGTTTCACTGTGACTTGATTTTGAAATGTAGAACACGAAGTCTCTAACTTCAAGTTTGCACTTCCACATGTCATTTTACACTTAGAGGAAGAAAAGTGTGAACAGACAACCGATACAGGACACAGAGTCATAAAAATTCACTGCTGAGAGGTTCCTCTACCGAACCTCTCAAAAAGCGTAAGCAACTAGTACAGCATTACAGAGCTAATAACTCCTGCAAGGACCAAGCCATTTCAACCAGTTCAATATTCTCTAAGTATAATAATACACAGAGGCCTATCGTTTACTCCCTTTGTTAAGACGCAGAATGTCCCCTCATCCCAATTATAATAAATAAGTAGACTGTAACTTACTGAAGATAAACCTTTGTAGAAAAATTACTTTAGGTACCTTTTTCTCTTCTAGCTCTGCTTTTAAAGATCCTAGTTCTTCCTGACATTTCTGCAGAGGAGAAATTTTTTGAAGCATCTGTTCCACTTGGTGATGCAGAGTACTATTCTCTCTAGAAATGGACAACGCATTAACGTTACACTACAAAAGTACCTCCAGTGAGTTATCAAATACATCTACTGGTGAGTTTGGATTTTATTTCTAACTGAAAACAAAAAAGCAAGAAAAGAATCTCTCTTTTTCAAGGCATCCTCTCTATACCAAAATGATTTGCATATCCCTCTTTATTTCTTTGTCATTATATTCTATTTCTAATAAAAGTACATCAAAAAGCTACTTGAGAAACAAATACAATAGATTCTCAATCTGCTGAAAAATACATTGAAGAACAATCTGCCAAGTAATCTGGCTCTTCCAACCACTGATTCAAATTAAATGACAGGCAATTTTGTGATTCAGTTTTTAACCATGTTTTGCCTTCTAAGTGATAAATGCAATCAGAATATAAAACACTACTGAATTCTACACAAGACTTTTAAATTGTTTAAAATATGCACAAAAAACAGCTACATTAAAGAGCTGAATTCAGAGACAGCAATAAGCTTCACCCCAAAGGCCACACGTCAGTAAGTTACTGAAAGGTAAAACTCCAGGCTGCAATTTAAGACCTTAGTGAGAAATTCACCTGGACAATTTAATAGCAAGGAAAATGTGAATCTTGTTTTATTATGAGCATCAAAGAAACATTCTATACATTGGGTCAATTCTATGTGGCACTTTGTTGAATCTCTGTAAAAACCTAGTCTGTAAACATCTCCCCCAAATCGACTATGAAAACAGGTAGCTTACCTTCTTGCAAACTGCAGCTGTAAAACTTGTTAAAGAAAACTCTGATAGTTTAATCTGCTGGAAATTGTCTGAAGAAAAAACCCACCTAAAACCATCTGTAATAATCTGTGTTAAATACACATACAGGCAAGATCATAATTCCTAAAAAACAACATTCAAAGTTCCATCTGTAACATAGCAATAAAGCTTCTTACTGAGTTACCCCTATTTATCATAACATGTACCAAAAGTCAAAATATCTATTTCTCTAAGTTAAGAAAGTCTTGGTCAAATATATGATTAATAGTAAATTCCAAGAATAAAGAAAAAGCAATATGCAATGGTGGAAACTACCTTGAATCCTGTATACATCAGAATACCCAAACAACCCACCCTTCATTTCTCAGTCCACAGCGTAACTTCAGCAGAAAAGAGTTATGTATTCACTAAAACCATATACATCTACATTTAATGAGCAACGAGAAAAGAAATAACAGAGAGAACATAAAATCTAGATAACCTTTTACTTGTACAGTTTGCACAATCTGATAAAACTTCATTTCTCATCATGCTGCCAGTAAAATGTTCTAAGGTGGCAAAAAACCATTCCTTTAAGCTTCCTCTCCTATACAACCCTACTCATGTCACAGGAGACAGCTGTCTGTTGGTCACAGCACACCTGAACCCGCCTCCGTAGAATGTAAACTTCTCAGGGTTAAGGAGTCTATTTTGCTCATCCCACATCACTGCAGTCTTTGCAAGGAAGAAAAGTTAAAAAAAACTGACAAAATAAAATATACTCTGTCCTGAAGAAAGAAGAATTAATAAACACGTCAGAATTACGTAAGTGTGAGAAATCAATTCACATAAGAAGCCACATTAACCCTCAGCGCCAGCACCTCAGGATGTAGAGCAAACAACCGCACGCTTGAGGTACAACAAACACATACGGTGGGCAAAGGCCAACTGTATTTAGAAAAAAAATCAGTATTTACTTGCACTTGAAGCTAGAATAGATGACCACATTACAGAATGAGAATTCAAGAATAATCAAAATGTTCTGTCAATTTGTAATAAATTATTCTAATAATTATGACTTTGAGATTTTGCAGTCACATTTTAGCAAAGTAAATCAAAGGTTTCCCTGCCAGATTACATGTGTAATTACCTTAAAACATTCATACTATTTATTCCAAGAGGATATAATGAACACATATTCTCCTAATACTGGAATTAACTGTTTATCTATTTCCCTGTTTAGCTAACCTTCTGTACGGCTTTCAAAATCAAAACTATTACTCTTGCAGTAACATGCACTTATAATTAAACAGACTGGTAGTTTCAACAAACAAAGCACAAGAGATTTTCAATGACCTATTTTTTTGAATGTAAAAATTCAGATACTAAAGATAAATCTACATGCTACATCTTGATTTTATTACTCTAATCACACAAATTAGATACGATGGTACCAACACAGATGACTGGTGATCACATGTAAGTAAGTTTACGGGCGCCAGAAATCACACTGAAGCAGGCCTCAGGCCACCGCCCAAGTGAATAGCACAGTGGGCTGTAACACGAAGCTGGAGCTGCAAGTCAGCTTGTTCCTAAAATCCCTAAAAATGTACGTTTACTGTTAGGGGAGAGATTTAATTCAGGTACGCATCACCACAAGGTGAGGAAGAAGCAATTACACACCCGGTTTTCACTCCACCAGGAAAACACAGAGGCCTGCCGCACTGCAGGGGCTCCACGCAGCCAAACTCAGCGAACGCCGACTGAGCCCCGGGGCCGTCGTATGGAGGAGAAACTACACTGTGGTTTGGATATACTCATTAATTCTCCACAATTACAAAACTGATTAACAAAAGTTAATTTTCAAACATCTTGAACACTTCTACAATGCACTTCAGAGATCCCTGTCTCACAGCACCATATTCAGTCCCACATTATTCCTAACCCTGAAGAACGGTCACATCTGCAATACAAAAACCAAACAAACAAAAATTGCTCTTTAAAAAGCTTATGAATCCTTAAAAAAAAATGAAATCAAAGACAAAAACAAAACGCACTGTAGAACAGCCTTTATCATTAACACGCATTAACAGAAAACCAGCTGCTTACTGTGCCTGCAAGAGGGACTTCCTACATTAAGACTGAAAACACTGCCTTCGGAAAGATGACTATGAAAATTCTCACATTTCTATGAATTCTTAAAACTTCAAAGGAAAAGCCAGTAAAAGGATATCATCACATTTCTTCTGATATTCTGTTAACAAATTACTGCAACAAAGAAAAGATTTATGTTACTTTTTTTAATCCTGAAAATATACTATGTTAAAATCATGTTTCAAAATGTGCCAGGCTCCTTTCATCCCAAGTTTCCTGCAACAAATTTACGTTTAATTAATGTAACATGTATCATGTTAAATTCCTTTAAAGCACTGCACTGATATATGAGCTTTTAATTTAAAATACCTTTGATCTAAATAATATCTTAGCCTATAAATTCCTTTGACTTTTATAGGATTAAAATAAAAACACCCTCATACCAAGGCCATGAAGTACTACAAGGAAATCTGAGGTCCAGTCCTAAAGCTAAGAAGACTTTAAAGATAGACAACAGTTTAAAAAAAAAATTACAGTTTAGCAAAAATCACGTCCTAACCCTGAACCTTGTAAAGCCTGAGCACCAAGACCAGGGGCTCCTGCGCAGGCGGCCCCAGAGTGGTTTCACTCGAACCCACACCACCCAGGCCCCAGGTGAGCAACCCCAGTCCCCCTTTCAGCCCGAGGCTCTACCACCACCACCTGCTCCCGCCAGTATGTCAGGTTCGTGGAGTCCAGCCAAACACATGAAAACATACTCACTCTGTATTAATGATTTTTTGCTTCAAGGTAATTAATGCTTCAACATATTCATTTAAATTCTGAAAGAAAAAAAATACAGTTAGCTATTTGCTTTTATAATATAAATTACTTTATATGTAATTTTTATGTAACATTTATTATAAAATATAAACATACTACTCACTACATTAAACACAGAGATACATAAATCTAACATTTATGTTGTGTATAAACTCAGATGTATTCTGTGCAACCCCGAGCCCAGGCTGTCCCTCTCTGAATCTTCATCCGAACGACGCTCTGCCAACAAGGCAGTCAGCGACACAGATGCCCTGACTGCGTGCGCTTCTTCACAGCGAGAGCTCAGCAAACACTCACTACTCTAGTTCACTCACTGCTATTAATCATCAGTCTACACGTCAACCCTCATCATTTCTGGCGGATTTCAGACAATCCAGAAAGACACACAAATTATTAAAAAAAAAAAAAACCAGCAAAGATAAAAAATAACATGGGAAAGACAAAGGGGCATATTAAAAAGGGGCTGTAATTAAGTGAAAAACTTATTTTATAAAGAACTATACTACACTTCAGGGACCAACTACAAATTGGGCTCCAAATTATTGCTACCAACTTGACAGGGAAAACATTAGTTACATTGTTCAAAATGCTCCTAAAATTTAAAAATGAACAGATTATTTTTCTCTTTTAAGTGACTTTTCCCTTGAATGTCTCCTTTTTTCATTATTAAATACTTCAGAAATAAGAACTTATTTTTCACTAGTTATTCCCAAAATATCTTTTACTAGATAATCTGATTGATTTTGAGAATTATACAAATACTTCCCTTCATGGTAATATGTGCATTTTCTTTGCAGTCATACATGTAACGTTATTTGTTGAAAAAATAATCTACACGTTAAAGCATCCCATCACCTGTCAAAAATCACTCATACTTTTTGCATATATCCTTTCAGAACTGTTACTGCACATTGAAAATACATTTGGATGTACTTAATTCACCAACTCTCCACCAAAGACCATTTAGATCCTGTTCAGCCTTTACTAACAGGCAATGCATTTCTTGCCCGATCCTCTGGGAGACACTTTTATTTTTCCTTAGGATAAAGTCCGAATAGGTTCCCTGCACTGGTGATGGTTGGGAGCTTTGATAATCTTAGAGCCATATTTTTCACTCATTTTTCTTTACGAGACTGAGAAACCATCCTTATCTCTTCTGACCAGTCATAGTTTTTCTTGCAGTAATAGCCCCTTGGTATGATTTGCTCATTGGTGTGGTTGCACTTTTTTTATTAGCTACAGTATATGAGGGATAGTAACATCTTGTCAAATGTTACTAATGTACATATATACAAATATATGTGCATGTTTGTCAAGTGGTCATTAAAATATAACCACATATGAATACAGAAGTTTTAAATATTTACATAGTTAATTTTTTTAAATGTTGGTTTCCTGATATATTTAGAAAGTTCTGCCCCACCTAAGATGCTAAAATATAAGGATTCTTCTATATGTTAATTCTATTACTTTTATGCCTTTTTAAATTCCTACCTTTATTCTAGAATTTATTCTAGTGTACAGTAGAGACTCTGAACAATGTATGTGAAAAGGGCAATGAATGGACTATTCAATAGCTTTAGTGTATCTGGCTTTCCACATAAAAAAATCTTTCATTATGTACATAATAAATTCTACATAGCAGATTTCTAACCAGAGAGGGTAATAATGCACCTGTTTTTACTCCCTCCCTAAAATCACCTAAAACTAAAGTCAGGATTTATTTTCCCCCAAAGGATGAGAACAGGATAAAACAGAAGTGGAAACAGGAAAGCAGATCTGAGAATACTGATTTAGCAGACCCAGGAGAACCAGGGGTGGGGCAGGTGGGGGACGATGACAAACCACTCAATTCTCAGTTTATACTGCAAAAAACTTCAACAAGCGTGGAAGAAACAGGTTCCTTGGAAAGGCGGGAGGCGGGGAAGGTGGGCACTAAAATGGCAACTAGTTGCAAGCTTTTTGGTAAGCATTTAATCCTCAAATGCCCGCCTCTGCTCTGCCTCTAGGAAACTGCTCCTCCATCATCCAGCAGAAGGTCTGCTTTCTGAAGTCTCTGCCTGGGACACTGTGAACACATGGGACAGGTGGAACGCACCAAAGACAGAGGGACCAGGTACACCCACGCACACGCCCTGACACTGACCACCTGCTTCTCGCCATTCAGCTCCCAGACAGTGCCAGCCAACCCTTTTGCCCTCAAGGCAGGACACTAAGAAGCAGGTTTTCTGAAGAAATCTGACCAGCCTGGAGACAAGATCTAAAGGTACTAACGTGAAGCTCAGGGTCCAAAAGCCCCACACACTAGGTGTCTCCAACCACCGTATTAGCCACTGCTTCTAATGAGAACAAACAATCAAGGATTTCCAAACATCAGAGAGAAATCCTGTAGCATGAGAGACCAAAGCAAAATGAGCCAAAGCACTCAGACTAAATAAAACCTAAAACATAACTTCAAAAATATTAATGTGGTCTGAGATAAATGTTATATTCAACAAACAAGAACAGCAGCTGTCTTTAAAAGAAATATTCAGAGTTCTTAGAAATTTTTTTTAAATTAAAAACAAACACCCACTAGGATGGCTAAAATCAAAAATGAAGCCGTGGAGAAACTGGGCCCCCTCATACACTGCCAGTGGAATATGAAAGGTGCAACTGCTGTGGAAAATAATCTGGCAGCTCCTCAAAACAGTAAACAAACAAACAAAAAGTGGTAAACAGCTAACTACACGAGCAGCAATTTCATTCCCAGGTGTACAGCCAGGAGCACTGGAAACACTTGCCCGTAAACTCGTCCACTCTGATTCATGGCAGCATCTCCTCACACCAGCCAAAAAGTGGAAATCAATTAAGTGCCAACTGATACAGGGGTGGGTCAGCAGCTGATGGACAGATACACAAAACGTCAGATAGCCACATGACGGGACTGTCCGATGATGAACAGGAGTGGCTGGCACGAGCTACAACGTGGATGGACCTTGAAAACACACTAAGCGAAAGAAGCCAGTCACAAAAGGCTCCACACCGTACGACCCCATCCATATGAACCGTCCACAGCAGGCAAATCCAGAGAGCCAGGAAGCAGGTAAGCGACTGCCCAGGACTTGGGCGCCGGCAGAGGGAATGACTGCTGAAACTTAAGGGGTTTCTTGGAGGGGGCACAGGGGCAGGATAAACATGGTTTATAATTACACAGTGCTGACTGGGTTGCTTGACTGTGCAAATACTAAAAACTACTGAGTTGTACATCTTAAGAGTATAAAGTTTATGGCATGTGAATTATACTTCAGTAAAACTGTTTATTATAACTAAATTAAAAACAGGAGAGCAAAATAAAAGACTCAGAACATTTGATGGTAAAGTTGAAAAAAAAAGCCCTCTAAAATAAAGTAAAACAGACAGGGGAAGAGCAAAGAAAAACAGAAACAATCGGAGTGTCAGCGCAAGGAGTCTCCTGCGCCCTGCAAGAGAGAGAGAGAAATAGAGGGAGCGAGCAAGCAGGAAGAGATGGAAGAGATGGGGTGGTCGCTGAAGAAACACTGCTGGTATTCAAGAAGACAACTCCAGAACTGAAGCCAGAAGTTTCCAGAAAGAGCCCAGCAAATGGATACAAACAGGATCCAAACCATGAAACATCAGCACAAAACTTCAGAGCATCAGAGACAAAGCAAAGATCCTGTAAGAATGAGAGAAAAAAATTTTTTTAAAAGTCACAAACAAAGAACCTGGAGTCAGAATGGCTTCAGACTTAAACAATAATCCAGAGACCTAGAACCCTAGAGACCAGAAAGCAAGCCTTCAAAAGCCTACAGGAAAATGATCCCAGAGGAAAATTCCATACAAGCTACCAACCAATCATGATGGTAGAAGGCATTCTCAAATCTGTAGTCTCCGCAAACTTCCCAGACACCCTTGCTCAGGGAGGTACAGGAGCACGTGAACACGTTCCACCCAAATTGTGGAGTGAATCCAGGGAGGACGATGTGGGACACAAAACAGAGCAGAGAATCTGGGAAGCAGCCTCGCACGTGCAGGTTAGAGCAGGTCTAAAGGCTTGGGAGGAAGTTCTCCCCTAAAAAAACGACAGAGCACCGGGTGGAATGAAAGCGTTAAGGTGGTATTTCTACGTGACTGGCAGAGAAGGGCAAGCAAATGTGGCTCCATTACGCATTTAAATTGATTGTTTTTTTAAAGAACCTCTTTTTTTTCCCGTTCTCTTTGGAGTTTTTGCGAGTCCATCTCATCTTCCCAGTCTTGCCTCCAGATGCCATTCTGTGATGTCAAGTCCCCCGCCAGAGACATTCCAGAAAGCTCAGGCTCAAGTCAGGCACAGCTGGGTTCACGGTCCTGTTCCAGCACCCTGCGGATGCACGCCATGGGCACACTGACCTCACTGAGCCCTGCCTCAGTACCACTTCCCACGCTGCAGATAAGGAGACTGAAACATTGGTTTATGGTGTGCTGGCGGGGCGGGGGTCCCTAACTGGCCAGGATTAAACAGAATGAGCCGTATAAAGTATTTAACTTTTGTCTCTGACTTATAATAAGCACTTGTTAACATTTTCAAGATGAATACATTGAATTAAGAATACAATCATTCACCAGGGGAAACAAGAAAACACACAGGAAAGGAAAAGTAACTGAAATGGACTCCAGAGTTTGGCTCTGAACAACAAACAACCATAATAATGTCACCTCCAAATAGTGACCTAAGGGAAATCATAGCCACGCGGAGAGGATCTTGGGGGGTGAGGGGAGACTCAGGCGTGCTGGGGTGCAGGGCAGAAAGACAGCTCAATCCTTACCTTCCAAAGTCAGAAACTGAACAATATGCCTAAAACTGAAAAACAAGACGTAGCAACACACGTCTATTACTTCACAACCTGAGACACAGCAGAGCGCAAACGCAGCGGGGTCCCCTGGGAAGCGGGCTGGGCTGGTGGGGGCTTAACAAGCTGTGTCTCCAGCTGTGTCTCCAAGCTATGCTCATGTCTAACTGATTTTAAAAACTTACAATTACAAAATGGGGAATTACACGGGAAAATGGAACGAAGTGAAGACAACTTCTTGGTTTCCTACAGCACGCGAGTCCCTCACTATTTCCCGATGGCCTGGTTGCATGGCAGCTCAGTTCTAGTCGGCAATTGCAGTATCACAATAAAGACTCTTCCTTCTATCTGATTATGTCGGTAGCAACCAAGGCCTAACTCAGGAGTCTCAGAACCGTGAGTGCAGAGCGGCTGCGCCCAGGCAGAGGGCACTGAGGGCCGTGACTCACATTCCTTTAGGGGTGCACACACTGTGCCCCACTACTGCCCGGCCCCTAGGGAAGGAGGTGGGGTCTGAGCTGTTGTTCCTCCTCTCCAGGAGAGGAGAGGGTGGCCTGGGGTCACCACAACATCGCCAGATTGAGGATCCAGTGGTTCAGGACTCCTCAAGTTTGGCAACCCACATGGACACTAAGCTACAGACCAGTAATGAACCAGAATAGCCAACAGGATGAAAACAGAGATGAGAGGATCTGTGAGACCATGAAAAAAGATGCGGTCAATCTACAAATGTCTGAACGAAGCAATGATCTCAGCAAAGGCAGTGTACTGCTGCACCCACTAAAGAGAAAGAGCGCAGGGAGGACTGAGGCACGAAGGAAAACCCGCAGTCCAGGTGAACTGCTGGGCCACCCGGGACAGCCAGCCTCCCGTGGAGGTGTGGCCAGATGCTTGTTAAATGCTCATAAATGTTCTGCAAGTCCAGGAGGTTCAGTGTGTTCAAACTGCACAGCCAGACCCCTTCTCCGTGT